TTGAATTTGGTATCTAGATCCGTCTTCTTCTCTGTCACCCATTAAGTGAGTGAAAACATTAGGAATTGTTTCCTTCTCACTGTCTGCCTTCATTGTGCGAAAGCAGATCTGGCTAGCAATCGCTAGGTCTGAAGTCAGAATCCAGCTACAGCATTGCTGATTTTTCACGTTTTGTTTCGAAAATCTTGATGGACTACATTTTCACTTGGTCTTTTATTGTCTTCCACAGGACAGCTAGATGTCCTAGCTGCCCTTCAACTCGCCCACTGTTGATCTTCGGTATAACAATATACAAGTTGGCATTTTTGTATTCCTTGTTTAGTATTTAGTATTCTCCATTGTGACAATGTTATTCTAGCATTTCTTTTGCATTTTAATATGCATTAAAATGAGATGCAAACCAAAATTTTCAAAGACCTAATTATCCTTTTCATGAAGAATGGGAATTTATTTACATTTTTATGATAAATGTTTTTGTTTAATGTGTAGTGATTTCATAGCTTTATATAACAAGAATCAAACAGATTATCTATAAAACAGTGACTTGAGAAAAAAATAAAATTCGTGGTCTTAAAGCTCAACTAAGAGCTAATCAAAATGTTTTAAAAACACTATTTAAAATCCCGTGCAATGACTACTGCATCATTCAAAGTACGGCATATTCTAGCCAAGAAGTATAAACCACTTTCTGACGGAAAATTTATAAAAGAAACTTGGAAGTGTCGGGTTCACGTTTTTCCCTTCGTTCAAAACATCAGATTAGATTTTTCATGAATTTAAGAGTATGACTGAAATTATTGTTGCAATAACATATTTATAATTGTCTCGAAATACTGTAATGCAACGAACTGATATGAATGAAAATATAATACTTGACGAATCATCAGCTATTAGTGACACAGCACATTGCTTATTTTTATTCGTAGAATTTAAAAGATTACACATCTAAAGAATTGTTTGGTATGATTTTTTAATGGAAAGGACTAGAGTTAAATTATATTCAAGTTTTTTAAGAACTCTCTCGTTAATTTGAGAATACCAATTTTTGAATTAATTTCAATAACAACAGATGCAGCAATAGCGATGATAAGCCTCGTAAATGGATTTATGACTCTGTGTCAAAATGATAACGACTTTACAAGTTTTTCATCCAGCGTTGCGTAATTCATTGAGTGTTAGCAGAAAAGGATTAAATACAGAAGAAATAATGAACGCAGTGCTCAAAATTGTTAATTCCATCTGAGGAAGTTCTCTCAGAGGGCATCTGCTCCAATTAAAGATTGATGAAGGTCAGCGAGAATTATTATTACGTACCGTTGTAAAATGAGTGTCAACAGATGAACTTCTCTTGAAAAAATGCGTAAATTACGCTTATAACAGTTCACAATATTAATATTATATTCAGTAGATGTATATATTATATATTACATTATTTAATATATACATATTATATATTATTATTAATATTACATTATCACAACTTTAATATTATATTAGAGTATTAATATAATATCATTATATTATTCATAATAGTTCATAGTATTAATATTGAACTATTAATATTATAAAAGAATTGGATAGAACTCGTCTTTAAGAAAAGAATTCATAAAATGCGTAATATATAATGCATAAGAAGAAAATATAATATATTTTAATACTTTTACAATTCATAAAAGTAGTAATAATCAATTTCTTACCTTTTATAAAGTTTATCAACTTATTTTATAAGTTTATTTTATTTCTTTAAAGCACTCAAACGGCACACTTTATATTTAGGGTCATTGCATGTTAAGGAACAACATATTAACAGAAACAGAAAAATGTGTTTACTATAATTTGATTACGAGGTGAGTCCACTTTTTTTTTTTCCATCAAGGATAGAAAATTCATGACAACGGGAATTTTTTAAACAGTTTAACTAAATCTGTGAAAAGTAATCCCAGGTATCTTTTCAAACGTTCTATTCCTGTATATTTCCATATGCAACATATCATATACTTCAAAAACTAATTAAGAAATTACAGTGACTAGTCATAGTGAAGGGAGAAAATATGACACGCTGATGATTCTTTTTTTTTTTTTTTTTTTTTTTTTTTTTTTGTTTTTTGTGTGTTTTCGTGTTTGTGTGTTTTTTTTTGGTGTGTTAATTACCCTCCTGCTTCTATTCTAGCCTCCTGGGTATATTCAGGTTTCAATTCCCAATCGCCTCTTAATCACCATTGGCCATTTTTTATTAAATTTCATGGACGCCAGCCAGGAGAAGAAAACGGCTTAGTTAAGAACTCCTGATCTAGCCTGCCCCTTTCACCTAATTCCTATTCATTCGTTATGTCCAAATTTTCTCACGATTTCCTTTGGATTATTCGAATTTCTAGTCATGGCATTCAGTTTACGCAACCTTGGTGGCAAGGCTCTGTAACGATTATTTTTTGCATTACCGAAGTTTGTTCCGATCTAGATTTTTTTATTATGAGTGATCGATACTTTTACAGAAGAGGCTCCCTAGCAGGATCGTTTACTGACCCCCTGAGGCTCGATGAGATTTCAAAGGGTCAGTTGTGATGATCACGTTGTTGATTGGGAGCCGTTAACTGGTACACCGCAATTGACGGGCGTTATGCCCATTAATTTCGGCCTTAAAATTTGTTTGGAATCCACAGGATCGTCCTTATGAAGATTAGGAACAACTGTTTACTTGAATAAAGATATCATTACCTTTTACAAATTATAATTGTTCATCAAGCCATAAGAGGTGGCCCGGTAGGTGCCCGGTACTACTTATGAAAATTCAGTTTTTACCATGAAGATGGCAGCCTTCATCAAGATAAGGGATTTGCTTCATCAAGATACCAGATAATTTGCTTAATTTGTCTACTAATCAGAACATTCATTTTATTGTCAGTGAACTAACAATTAATTTTGTTAACCTTGATCTGTCAACTAATGCTATTTTTTAACCTCATATAAAAATGACGTTTTCAAGATCACTTTCATTCCCTTCTTAATGTAATTACTGACGTAACTAATGCATTTTTTAATACCTCATATTCATAAAGATGACGAATTTTTATTCTACAGTTAAAATTTCAAGTGAAGATAAGGTTATCTCTAAAATTATCATCTGAAATTAATTTCTAATTCGAGACCAGAAAGATCTTAACATTTTTTTACTCATACTAAAATTCTCTCATTGTTTCATCGATTTGGACCTTACACCCTCCAGAAACTCACATTATTCATTGATTGAAGGGGGCCACTTGACTTTCGTCTCTTTTTGTCCATACTATTCATTTGTTTTCCACCGATGGTCTTCACCATATGGAAAGTAAAAGGAAGCACTGCTTTCTTGGATCTTGGATCATATCTTTACTGCTGGCTTTAGCTACTAGGAACTCTTACCGTATATTATCATTATACCATCATTAGGCCATAAAGTTAAAATTTAAAAGGTGTTGTATTTAAAAATACACTGCGCCCGAAGGCGAGATCAATATAATGAGAGAACTCATAAAATAAGTCTTGCTAAATTGCGTATCATGGCATAATCATCATGGTGTTATAATCATGGCAGCGAGAGGCAAAATGATGAAGTCTAAGCTTCTGGGTGAGTCTAGAAGAGCAGAAACACGTGATCAGCGTCCGGTATTAAGATTGGTCGAGGAGTCAGAGTTCGAAAAATGAAGTTTTTTGTAGTTTTTGGAAATAGATAAAGTTCGACCATAGTAAAAGCAACATCTATCTTTGAATTTAAGAGTCCTATGTCTTTTGAAACAGTTGAAAATCACCGAAACTTGCTATATAATCATTAAATGAATAGGAAATTGTAAAAGGCGAAAATGTGGTCATGCGGCTCACTAGGGCTAATGAGTGAGAGTAAGCACTTGGTGTTGACCACGAACTTTGATTTTAAAACACACGATACGAAATAGTAAAAATAAAAAATAAAAGTAAAAATCTTGGTTAAATAAGTAGTAAAACGAATAATTCATCGATGAAAAATAAAGTCCTAACTTTGCAAAGTTCATCTTTCTTGAATAGTAACTGAAGAGTGATAGTAAAAAAAATTTTTTTTTTTACTGCTTTCTGAAACTCTAATTTACTATATATTCTTAGTAGTAGAAAGACAGAATATTCAAATTTCTTGTTTTGCATTCGATAAGTCTTTTTACCCACAGTGTGGAAAGATACGTTTTGCTGAGAAGTAAAAGCGGCAGGAAAATGGCAATTTCGTTTAAAGAAAAGTAATTTCGAATCATTTGATGATTGACGACAACTTGATGATGGCGCGTGTACAGGTAATTAATGGGCGCTTAATAGAAGAGCTTTTCTAGCTCTTGAAAAATTCATCATTGTAACTGGTCAGCATGGCTTTCTGGAATGACGGTAACACCTGCAGAACTTTTACATGTAAACGGACTATTTATGGAAAGCTTTAGCAAAATATTTCACATTTTTATTCCGTACAGTTTATTCCTTTGATCTGATATTTTGTGATTTAAGAATGCAAATATAATAGTTAATTTCTGAAACAGACGTTTGATGCGTTTAGAACTTTAAATAATAAATATATTGTAGGTAAATAAAGCATACAAAATTAATAATTAATATATCAAAGTACATAAATAGTTTTTTAGGCGAAATTTCTCTAAAGTCCTGAAATTAGATCATGTATAATTCATTTATTATTTTTATATATTCTGAAATTTCCCAAACATTCCCGCGTATAACTACCTAAGCTTCCATTCAAATACATTTATTTTTTTTCCTTCACATAAATATTAACTTCTTCAGTTGCAAAAAACTCACTCAGTTAGAATTTAAAATTTTCTCTGACATTTAAAAATTAATTTATGATAGTTATTTATTATTGTTCATTTTTATTGCAAAAGAAAGAAAACCCGGAAATATCATCAAGCCTTATTGCTGATATAAATTTTCAAAGTGAATCGGCTGAGATTGAAAAGAAGATTACTTTATAAGAGAAACGGTAGTGACATCTAGCACCACATCTATTTGTCGGCTGTCAACTGGCTTCCTGTCGTAATGGAGTTGCGTATTAGAGAGAAATTGAGCTCTACACATGGTCGCCATTTTCGGGCAGAAAATCGGTGATTGTGTTTGTTGACGCTTATATTGAGCCGGCATTTATTTTGCTGATTAAATTATTTATAAATCTGTGATCTCATTATGATCAACTACATATGTTGCTTCACGATAATTCTATTCCTTTCTTTGTGAATCTACAAGCGGTGGTGATATTCCACTCTAAAGTGAAGTGTACAAATTGCATACTTTGCGTGAAGTGCATTTTTATCATGGCTGACAGCGACAAGACGTTAATTAGAGATGGTAATCTTAGCAATAATAATCGAAACGTTAGCGTTCCCAGCATTGTTCCCCCTTCATCGGGAACTATGCATCCAGATACACACCCCACACATCATGTTGCTAGCGAACCTTCGACGTTAAAAAGAAAACAAACTTCATTTCAGATTACAAGCGTGACTGTGAAAGGCTCCCGTCTTAGTACTGATGGCGGTGAAGATAGCGCCGACGATTTAGACGAGAGCCATACAGAAGATGTAAGTTCAGAAATTCTAGACTGCTCAAGAACCACAGATGTAGACAATGACCAATTGTCTGAAGATAACAGCAACACTAACAACGACGATCTGTCAAACCAAACTCCATCCATTCCTCTCAAGTGTAAAACAGAAATTAATGTTAAACATGAAGCACAAATTGACGTTGCTGTGAAAATTCCATCCGAATCTTCCAAAACTGATAAGCCAAGTATACCACCTGAAAAGAATCAAAGTGAACATGTGGTGAATCCACCTACGCTTCCAGATCAGTGGCAACATAGGTTTAGAGTAGTTAAAATTGTAAGTAGCGAACCATTTAAGAGAGGTCGTTGGCTTTGCATGGATTTTATGGATCCACCTGCCCCTGCAGTAGAAGCAAAGTCTGAAATTTCTGAATTATCTTCTGCTTCTAACATACAATTGATTCCTGGATCCTGTTTCTCAGATGCAGTACCATCTGACCGTGTTGCACATATTTATGAAATCTCACCAAGTGATGCTTATCCTGGCAGCATATCAGTAGCTGTTGGTCCTGACCAAATACAGCAGCCAATGTATGGAATATTTCTTCCTGTAAATAATGGCCAGTATCCATTTATCACTGGAATGCATTCGGTAGTAGGACCAGCTGCGAGTCAAAAAGAGACAGTAACAAAGGAAACTTCACAATCCAAAGCCACTAACACATGTGGAATCCAACAGACACAAAATATTTCTGCTGGCCAGACTACGTTTACAGAACGCCAGCAGCAACAGCAATTTGCTTGTCAGCCAGCTCAGGGATTATCAGCGGCTACTTCTCAGCCGCCTTCGAAACCTGTTCAGCCTGCCACAGCTGTTCAAGCCTGTCCTCAACATCAATCACAAACAACTGTGAAGGTGTCCACTAGTGCACCTACACAGCAGCAGCCCGCTGCTAGCGCACCAACAGTCTCTCAATCGACTGCAACTCCTGCAACAATAACTCAACCTCAATTGCCTCCTCAGTCACAACAGGCTCAGGACTCTCAGCTTACTATGCAACAGCCACAAATTCAACCATCAATAACATCACAAAGTCACACGGTGCCTGTCAGCACCATTTCTCAGAATATTTCAGAGCTAGTTTCTAAGCCCATTGTTGTATCTTCCAATACACAAATAGGTGATTTGACCCCAACACCTGCTACTACAATTTCTTCTGCACAGCCACAAGTTTCGCAAATCTCTAATGTAGCTGTGGCACAAAGTTCCACTATAGGTACTCAAGCTTCTGCTGTTGCTAACATTCCTGAGGTTGTATCAGTATTGAGTACCAAAATTCAGGAGACAGTAACTGTTCCTAGTCAAGTAATTCAAAATCACATTGAAATCAAGGAGCTTGGAACACCTCCTTCAACCAATCCACAGGTTTCTGAAGAAATTTTACCTGAACCTCCATCTGCAAAAAGTGATATAAATGGAGAAGAATCCGAAAGGTTTGTTACATTTTGTTGCATTTTTAAACCCTGTAGTAGATAATCAGTTTAAGTTTCAAATGCAGGGAAAAAACTGTACATCATACAGGTGATTATTTTAAGTTTATAAAATCCAGTTGTAAGAATATGACTGCATTATATTTCAGTTATTTTAATCATTTATTTATATTTGATGTTTTGTATTGGGCATATTTTAATATGTAAAAGTAGTTGTTCCTGATGCAAGCAATACTTTTCTGAATTAACTTTAAAGTTTTTTAGGGTGATTTCCTTTGCTACTTTTTGGAGTGCAGTCATACAGTTATTAAAATAGTTAATTATTTGGGATAGAATATATTTCTTTTGAAACATGGGGTAAAGTGCAGAATCGCCCACTTATTTGTTTGGCGCTTTTTACAAGAGTAAGACGAATTGGATTCTTGTCAATATTCTTTGACTTTTTTAATGAATGTGTACATGGATAAAGCTAAGGGAGTGTGCTGCCATATTTGTGCAATTCTGGGATTTTTTTTTAAAATGAAAATAGGTCGATGTGTACGTGGATACCTAGTATGTGCAATTCTTAAAAATGTGCCAAGCAGTGGGTGATTCTGCACTTTTTCCTAATCATGTTTGTTGCTAGTTTGCCTTCCCTATGAAATTTATGTAACTTGTAAATTTGTTCCACATGAAAGTGTTCTTTCTAAAATTAATTCTTTTATTTTTTCCAATGTGAGTTAAGGTGGATTTTTATGCTCATGCATTCACTATAATATTCAGTTTTTGCAACATAACAGAACACAGTAAAAATCTAGTATTTTGTGTTGGGTCTTGTTCTGGATGTGTGGTTATCCAAATTAAGAGCTGTTATACTCGTAGGCCATTAAAACAATATATCGTTGTGATGCAACATCAGAATAATTCCTGCATCTTGTCAAATTTTACATTAACATAAAAAATCATATTGGATTAAATGGTATTGAGAAATCCTTCTGGAAGATTTTATGACAAAAATTATAACTGAAATTATGATACTCAGGATTTTATCAATTTGTGTGTGGAATATTTTAAATAAAAACACATTATATAATGTATAATTAAGTAAATTACCATGATATAATTATTAATATCTCATAAAGGTGTATGTTGGATATTATCCCGTTCTTAAGCAAGAATATTTATTATGACATTAGTAATTTAACAATCCTTCACTCCTTGCCACCACGTACACTAAGATGAGTTTTATAAATGAAAGGTAATCATGTTGGATTACCTTATTTGATTGTTAATGTCTTGCAAATCTGAAATATGCACCTTAAAGGAATTTCTTCAATTCTGTCGCTAAACCATCACTGTATTGCAGTTCTCCAAGATATTTTTATTTAAGTTTTGTTTATATCATATTTAGAATAAAAAATTAGGTGATTTAGTTGGATCCTAGCAGAGCCCAAACCCTTGGCGCAAATGATTTTGGTTATGGCGAGTATCGATGTGTACATCGACAAAGTCGAGGGAGTGGTGTGCAGTTCTCTGACTTTTTTAAGTGAAAATAGGTTGGATAAAAGTACATTTTAGGGTACCCCTTGGCCTTTTTTGGTAGTACATGGATACCGAGTTTGTGCAATTCTTTTACTTGTTTTTTTGGCGCAAAAATTGCCGCTACGCAAGCCAAAATAACACGTCAAAGAATTGCACAAATTGGGTATCCATCTACACATCGACCTATTTTCATTCCCGAATTGCACAAAAATGGCATTGTGCATTCGCTTGACTTTATCCATGTACTCATCGACCTATTTTCACTTAAAAAAACAACAGAGAATCGGACAAACTATGCCTTACGCACTTCCTTGAGTTTGTCCATGTACACATGGATATATTTTCACTTAAAAAGTCAAAGGAGCACCCATTCTATGTAAGGCAACCCAAAAATAGGTAATCCCAACAAACAAAATTTAATACTAAACATAAAATAACACAAAAAAACACAAAAAAAAAAAAAAAAAATTACCAAAAAAGAAAAAACCCCTACCTGGTTTATGTAATTTTTTTATAAGCACTAAAGTACTACGGCAAAGCAAATATTCAAATATTCCCTTAACTTTTATTAAAACCTTAATTTATCATTAATATCCATCATCCCTCCCTTCTAACTAGATTAACCATAGTTTCCTATAGAACCTCTTCATCTCATTTCTGGAGTTCTGTTGTGGCAAACACACAGCAGAAATCCCTTAACAGCATAACAACATCCATCCAAAAACTGAACAAGACGGGAGCATCCACCCACTTTTCCTCCCCTTCTCTCACTACAATCCGTATATAATCGGTGGTCCCAAATCGGTGTTCTGCCGCACAGAAAATTAAAATTAACAAAAAATAAGGCTAAAGAAAGGCTAAAAAAAATACTACAAAAGTTCCTGACTATGGTGCTACTACGTAAACCTTCATTTTACACACACTATTTCCATTAATGCACAAAAAACGTTTTTTTCCTCCTTTCAAATGCAACGTTTTTTTTTTTCCCCTTTTTCATTCCTAAATAATTCTAAATCGTACAGAAACTTCAAATTAAAATCCTACTACATTCAAACCATTTGTAACCCTCTAAACAACACTGAAAAACAAGTAAATTGTAGCTTCCTAAGCAACATGCAAACCAACAAAACAAAAGAAGCCCCTTCGCAAAAACCCTCCCCATGATTCAAAATTCCCAAAATAAAATGCAAGCAAACATTATGTCTAATAGGGTTTCTATAAAACATTCCAAACCTTCAACTTCAACATACTCAGGGCAGCGTTTACCCTATCAGAATATACAAACAAACAACTGAAACTTGGCGATAAATTAAGCAACAATAAACTTCGCTAATGGGGGATACAATAGGTAAACCTTTAAATTAACTTTTTAAAGTCAACTCTAAAAACAAAAAAAAAAACCAATAGTTTGTGTGTAACATGGGATACCGATATTTTGTGGTAATTCTTGGACTTGGTGTTATTTTTCAAGTTGGCGATTTGAGAAATAATGTGGCAAAGCATTGTAGCAGAAGAGCCAGTCAGGTTTGCGAAAATTTTTTTCCCAGTTTGTCGTAAGGGTGGTGGGGCCCCTCCCTCCTAAGGATTGTTAAAAATATCAAACTTAAAATTACAATCAAAACACTAAAAAAAAAGACCTTTTAAAAAAAAAAAAAAAAAATTAAATCTAAAATATAAATTAACAACCCCCTCCCCCCCCCCCCCCGTTCTCTTCCCCCCCCCTCCCCCACCCCCCCCTTTCCCTCTTTCGTTTCCCCCGCCCCTTTTCTTCCCCCCCCCCCCCCTTTCCCTCCCCCGGCGATTTTATTTTGAGGAGGTCATTGGAAAATGATAACAAAAATGAAAAAATGAAAATTAAGTGTTTTGTAGTTAAGAACTTTAACTCATAATTAGTGCCTACAAGGTTTAATGAACACTGCTAGAATCATAATTACAAATTTCAAGACAGTTTTTTTTGTTATGTTTTTTTAAATATAGAAAAATTATTTTTTTTTTTTTTTTTTTTTTTTTTTAAATTCTTTTTTTTTTTTTGTGTTTTTAACTTTTTAAATAGTATGGCTGTGGATCTAACGCAAAAATTCCTTTTCTTCGCCCCAAAAAATAAGAAGTTTAAAGAAGTCCTTATATTCTTTATTCACATAGTTGTGTTCTTTTAACATAGTGTGATCCTAAGAAGTCACCCAAACTTTCACATCTTATATTATTTGCCTATAACTTTTGCTATAAACAATAGAAAATATGAACTACTCTTAATATCCTTTGCACGCCCCCTCCCGGTTGGTGGCGACAAATTTTTCCTTCACCAAACATTTTTTTTTTTCCCGCAAGAAAGCTCCACTGCAAACCATAATTACTATGCGTAAATTCCTAAATTTTGTAAAGCTTACAACATTTCGAACTTTTAAGTTTTTTCGAACTTTTAAACCTAAAAATGTCTGCAAAAAAAACACGGGTTTTTCCCCAATTCCACATGTGGGCAAAAACCATGGGTTTTAATTCTTGGATTATGGTAACCTTGGCGAAATTTTTTGGCGGTGACCCAACTCTGCTAACAAAAATAACAGACCCAACTCTTGCCTACAGCAAACCCTCTAAAATTTTTTTTTTTTTTTTTTTTTTTTTTTTTTTTTTTTTTTTTTTTTTTTTTTTTTTTTTTTTTTTTTTTTTTTTTTTTTTTTTTTTTTTTTTTTTTTTTTTTTTTTTTTTTTTTTTTTTTTTTTTTCTTTTTTTTTTTTTTTTTTTTTTTTTTTTTTTTTGTTTTTTTATTTTTTTTTTTTTTTTTTATTTTTTTTTTTTTTTTTTTGTTTTTTTTTTTTTTTTTTTTTTTTTTTGTTTTTTTTTTTTTGTTTTTTTGTTGTTTTTTTTTTTTTTTTTTTTTTTTTGTTTTTTTTTTTTTTTTTTTTTTTTTTTTTTTTTTTTTTTGTTTTTTTTTTTTTTTTTTTTTTTTTTTTTTTTTGTTTTTTTTTTTAAATTTATTTTTTTTTGTTATTTTTTTTTTTTAGTGGTTTTAGTTTTTTTTTTTTTTTTTGTTTTTTTTTTTTTTTGTTTTTTAGAATTTTTTTGTTTTTTTTTATTTTTAGTTGCTTTATTTTTTTATTATTCTAATGTAGTGTTTGTTTGTTTTATTTTTTTTTTTTTGTTTTTTTTTTTTTTTTTTGTTTTTTTTTGTTTTTTTTGTTTTTTTGTTTTATTTATTTTTTTTTATTTTTTCGGTTTTTGTTTTTTTGTTCATGTGTTTTTGTTTTTTTTTTATTATTTTTTTTTGTTTTTTATGATGTTGTTTTTTTTTTTTTGTTATTTAGTTTTTTTTTATTTTATTCTTTATTTTTTTTTGTGTTTTTTTTAATTTTTTTTTTTTTGTTTTTTTTTTGCCTTTTTTTTTTTTGTTTTTGTTTGTGTTCGTTTTTTGTTTATTTTTTTTTTTTTTTTGATTTTGTTTGTTTCTTTTGATTTTTTTTTTTTTAATTTTTTTTTTTTTTCTT